ACACAGTGTTTAAACAGCAGGTGCAAAGGCTGAGGGTGTGGCTCAGTTGGTCGAGCGCTTGCCTAGCTTGCATGAGTTCTTAAGTTCGATCCTCAGCACCACATAAACCAGGCATGATGGTGCAGCAGAGACAGGAGGATCAGAAATTCAAAGTCATCCTCAACAACACAGTGAGTTCAAGGCCAGCCTGGGATACATGAGACCTTGTCTCAAAAAAATGCAGGGTATGGTGGCACACACCTCTAACCCCAGCACTGGGGAGGCAGAGGCAGGTGAATCTCTGTGAGATTGAGGCCAGCCTGGTCTACACGGAGTTAGTTCCAGGCTAGCTGGGGCTACAGGGAGACCCTGTCACTGGGAATCAGTGGCAGGAGGATCCCCAGAAGCTCTTGGACTGACTAGTCTGGCACAGGCAACGGCAAAGAAGAAACCCTGTCTCAAACAAGGTAGAAGGTGAGGACTGACACTCTAGATTGTTCTCTGAACTCTTATGCTCACTGTGGCATGTGCCTAACTACAGTCACACACACAAATGAACATAGACACTGAATACATGCACACATCATACACACATGCACAGATACAAAAGATTAAAAAAAAATTTTTTTAACTGACCCAATAATAAAAAACCAGGAGACAAAGCTAGGGGCATGGCTCAGTGGTAGATTGCTCACTTAGCATACATGAGGTCCTGGGTTTGAGTGACATGGTGGCATACAACTCTGGTTTCAAGTCATCCCATAAACGCATGTGCAAGGACAGACTCCAACTGGGTGGCTCCTTTATCTTTGTGTGGTCACCCTACATACACCAGAGTGTCCCATGGACGTGCACTGCCTATGTAAGTTAGAGACAGGAGATAAGGCTATTTTTTCAGACAGAGCTCATTTCCTGAGTAGTCGGAGAGGATGACGATGAAGCCAGCCCTGCCCAGAGGACACAGCTGAGCTGCCAGCTTCCCTGCTATGCCACTGACCTTTCATACCAGCTGTGAGCTCTAGGAGACCCCTGTCCCTGGGGGCTGTTCAACTGAAGCTCAAGTAGTAGTGTGGGCTCACTACCTGAGATACAGAACACCCAGTACTACCTCTTAGGTAGCTAGTTCCCCTGGGCCATTTGGGTACCTCTCCCTTGTTCTAACACCCAGGCTTCTCTGCCTCAGGGCCTTTGAATACTCTGTTCCCATAGCTAAGGATCTCTCTACTCAAGGCCTGGGTACATCACCTAAGTACCCCCCCCCTTTTTATTTTGAGATCAAACCCAGAGCCTTTGCACAAACTAGGCAAATGCCTTAACACTGACCACCAACCACATCTCTGCCTCAGGGCCTTTGAATACTCTGTTCCCATAGCTAAGGATCTCTCTACTCAAGGCCTGGGTACATCACCTAAGTACCCCCCCCCCTTTTTATTTGGAGATCAAACCCAGAGCCTTTGCACAAACTAGGCAAGTGCTCTACCACTGACGTACATCCCCACCCCACTCCCTTTATAACGGTCTTCCTAAATTGCTGGCTTTGAACTCATTCTGCGGCCCAAGCTGGCCTTGAACTTTCAATCCTCCTGCCTCACCCTCCTAAGTGGCTGGGATGACAGGCCTGCACCACTACCACACCTGGTTCTCCTTAAGTCTTATCAGACATCTGAACCTCAGGGCTCATGGGAAATGATCCCACATGCTCGGTAAACCACAGACAAGTTACTGGCTACCTGGATGGCTAGTATGCCGTAGACTCACTATGTACCAGGGTTAGGATGGTACATGGTGATTAAGAGAGGAAGCTGCTGAGCCCCAGTCCTTGGCTGCAGTCTCCATGGCAGACCAGGTAATAGCTCCTCCAGGAAGCCTTCTGAGGAGGGAAGGCCCACAGACCCTGCTTATCATTAATCATAATGTTTCTCATCAGCCAGCAGTTCTGACCTGCCTTGAACTGGTAGAGACACTGAACCAAAGACTGGGAGCAGACAGTGTGAACTTGACCTTTGCCTGAGGATGCAGGGTCATGCTGGGTCATGAGGGCTGATAGGGGACAAGAAAGCAGATATTCCCCTGATACACACCAGAATGAGGCCAGCAGGCTATATCACATCAATACTCTACTCTGAGGGGGGTCTGATGTCAAAGCCTAGAGACTGCAAGACCAAGTTAGAATCAAGACTCAGAGGACCTGTAGCTCCAGGCCACATGGGATCCCAAGACCTCTGGGTCCCACCCACACTGTCTGCTCAGTCTCCTGCCACCTCTGCTAGGACTTCAGCTCTTCCCTGTGAAGTGAACACACCCACCGCATAGATGCCCTAAAAGCCAGGCACCCCAGTGAGGTACACTAGGGATGGCCCAACTCCAATAGAGCACAGCCAGCAGTCTCTGGGAACAGCCTGGTGGGAAACCAGTACAAAACAGACCCTAGGAGCCCTTTCCCTCCCAAAGATGACCTCAGCCCCCATAAGACCCAACCAGGTGATTCATGGTGTCCTTTAGGCATTGTCACAGGCTCCTGAGAAGGGGAGACATGGTGGTGGCTCTCCCAGGATGGGGGCTGTGGACCTATGGTGGCTCAAAACTTTCCATCTCAATGCTGCAAGATGCCAACTCTCATCTTCAAAAGTGGCAAGGCCTGCTGGGGCTCTGGGAGCCCAGGTATCAGAGGGGCTTGTGACATGCCTGTAACAGCCCATCTGCTCCTAACCCCACAGTCACCACTTCTGCTGTGGGCTCCAGGAGGCATGGGCAAAAGGCTGGAGGAAGAACTCTGCCTCTCAGTGCTCCCAGAATGAGGCTAGGCCTTAGTCTGTATAACAGAACTGCTGCACAGCCCTGTTGAAAGGTGGCGAGTACAGGCAGCACTACACGGGGCTTGGCTGGAAGTCTAATTGTGGGTTCCACCAGGATTCCAGACAGTGGGCTATGGAGATAGAAAGAAGCAAAGGGCAAAGCTGGTTCTCTATCCTGGGAGAATTAGAGGCTCGCTTTCACAGTGGGGACAGCTTGGGTAGGGACAGGACAGATGGCTGAGACGATGCTCTAGGTCAGGATGGGTGAGAGGTTATTAGACGCAGTGGGATGGGTCAGCCACCCCCACATGCATACACACCCCTCACACACACAGAGTTAGCAAAACTTCACCAGGGAGACAGGCTAAGGCCCGTGAGGAACCTCCCACCCACCCAGGGAAGGAGCCTCCCTCCACACAGGTGACCCTGCAAAACCATCACAGCCAGCTCCAATTTAAGGATGAAGGGACGAAGCTGAGACAGGCTGAGCATCTGCCTAATGCACTAGCTCACAGAGGACAGGGACAGGATGGACGTCCACAGGCCCCTCAGGAGCAGAGGTGGCAGGGGTTGGAGCCAGGCTGGGTTCCACATGGTGAATTATTCAGTGGCTAATTCTGCTCCTGGGAGAGGAGGCAGGATAGAGAGTGAGTCAGAGGCCTCCCACAGCAGAGCCTGGAGCAGGACAGCAAAAGGGGGCAGGACCAGGCTCAGTTAAGGCCTCAGTTGAGGAGCTAGCTGGGTCACCACTTCCAGACCCCCAGAGTCTGCAGGAACTGGTCCCTCACCCTCTCTGTCACAATTGTGCCTGAACAGCAACAGCAAGTTCAATTCCATTTACAGCAGGAGCAGGTGGCAGGCCAAGGACCACAGGAAATGCTGTGGTCCTTCAAAACTGACCATTAGGCCAAACCTTCGGGAGATAACTTTCTGAAAGAAAGCAAGCTCACTCAGTCTTCTTCCAGGGAGAAGAGTAACAATGCCACTACACAGTAGGAGCATGCATTGCCCCAACCCTAGCTCACTCCAGGTCTGGCCTTCCCCAAAATCCAGGGGTGGCCTCTGGGGCTCCCTTCCTCTCACTGTTTCTGGGTGCAATGTCACCACATAGCAGGAGAACCCATTGCCCCCACCCTGGATCACTCTAGGACTGGCCTTCCTGAAAATCCCCGGATGGTCCCTGGGCCTCCCTTCCCCTTACTGCCTCTAGGTGCTCTGGCCTAGGCCAACCCTTTGCTGTATTTCTAATCGGCTGGAGCTGGGGTCAGGTAGACACAGAGCGGCAACAGCGACTCTGTGTACCCTCACCCTCGACTTCCGGCTCTCCTCATCTGGAAGAAGGTGGCTGCAGAAAGCAAAGCAGGCAGTATGTGGCAAGGCAGGGAGAGCACTAGATTCCCACACCGCTGTCTAGGGGTACCCGGATAGAAACCCTAAAGTGTTGGGGTGACCATGCAGCCGGATTACTCTGCTTCTAGAATCCCGGGCAGGAAGGAAAAGCCCATAGTCCGGTCCCTGGCTCTGCACTCAAATGACAGTGGTTCAGGGATGGGGGTGGTGTTGGGTCTTGGCATGATGCCAGGCCTAGGGATCCATGAGGAGACGGCTGCCAAGGGCCCCATGGCCCCCAGCCCAGACTGAGGCCCTCCCTGCAGCCAGGCCTCGCTCCCCCTTCCCTGGGGTGGGGAGGGGGGGTACTGCTAGCAGCCTGGTTTCCCACAACCACACGGCACCCTGCATACATCCCACAGCCTGACCGCGAAGCAAGGGGTTATTAGCGGCCACAGAGGGCTGGCCATGACCCAGGCTACTCATCCACCAACAGCCTGGCGGCGGGATTCCCCAAGTGGGTGAGGAATCCCCCTCCTGCCTGTACCCGGGGTTCCAACTTCGGCGCCCTGGGGATCCGTGGCTGGCGGGGGTCTCTATTGGGGGAACAGTTGGCCGCTTCAAGGATGGAGAGGGGCCTGGCAGGAACCCATAGGATCAGTGGGGGTCTATTAGGGGAGGGAGGTAGCTCCACCAATCCAGGCAGGAGGCCTTGGAGAGGCCCGAGGACCTTCTGTGGAGGCTCGAGGTTAGCCCCCGGAGGGAGACCAATGGGCCAGAGGGGACTCCCATAAGGAAGGTGCCACGACCCCGGATGGAGTGAGTGGAGAAGCTCCGGCCCCTCGGGAGGGACCATGACCCGGGGTCCCTGACCCCACACCCGGAGGCGCGTGTCACCTGCTGGTAGTCGGTGTCCTCCGGCCGGAACTGGCTGCTGGTGGCCTCCCACCGCAAGTCGAAGTGGGGCAGCCGGTGCAATAGGCTCACCCACCAGGGCGCCGCGTAGCTGACCCCGGCCATGGCGGGCGGCCGTGGAAGCTGCACCCGGCTTCCCTCGCTGCCCGGGACGCGGGGCTCAGGGACCCACCGACCCTAGCTCAGCTGCTCGCATGGTCCTCGCGATCCTGGGCTCCGGCCCGGCCCGGCTCGGCCCGGCTCGGCCCGGCTCGGCTGCACTCGGCTCCGTTCGGCCGCCCGCGCCCGCCGCCTCTTTGTTCGCCTCCGCCGCCACCGCCCCCTCCGC